CGGTATAAAAAAAAAGTAAAATAAAATAAATAAATTGCATCATAATTGAAAAATCAAATAAGGATGTTCACAATAACTGTGGCCGCGAAGAGCTTCTGGTTACTTAATTTTATGCATCTATCACCACCCACAATAATTAATACTGTTTCCAAGTTCACCCAACCCTTTTAAGTTGTAATTACCAGGAATAATTGTCTTAATTAGTCAGTCCTGTAAACATAAAAATCAAAATCTTAACCGTGTAGTAATCTCTAAAACCATTAGAAAAAGAAATAGACATTCACAACAAGCCATTTACCGTAGGTCTCAATGCCTAACTGGTAACTACCGCAAGTTGTGGCCCAAAACGCTTCTATTATCTTTAACTTATAATTAAAGAGTCGTGAATAAATACATACAATTAATCAGCAACTATTTAGTTGCTATATTATAAACCAGATGTAATTTTCACAGCAGCAAAAACAACCTAGACATCTATGATATATTACCTTGTATGTATTTGCGGTTTGAAAAACTATCTACAAAAATATATTATAATAAAAGGTTTTTGCTTGGGTAAAGTAAAAAAAACATAAAAACATTAAAGAAAAAAAAATAATAAAAAAAACCAAGGTAATTTCCTATATATATACATCTTTGTTTTGATTATTGATCTGATTACATCATTCGCATGCCCGGCACCAATCAGATTTCATCAAACCAACAAAAAAAGAAAGATCGTCAAATCAAATGATGTAATTATGATGATGATCGACACCAATTAGATTTCATAAAAATTTTTTTTTTGTATAAAAAAAAAAACGTGAAATAATCTACGTACTGCATAAATTACGTTCTTGATATCTATATAACCTATTAACCCTACCTGCGTCAAAAGGCGTCAAAAAAGTAACCCTAAACCTCGCTTCGCTTTATTAAAGCAAATAGTATATTGCGCCGATTTTACTACGTATGAAATTTTGGCCTTTCAACCGCAAACTACTCAATTTTTTAAAAAATTTGTTTTTTTTTTAATATTTATCTATAATGCAGAATACCAACATTTTTTTAAAAAAATAGACCATTTAAGACAAAACACTAAATTCTGAAATTTTATTCGACGGTTTAAGAAATAATTAAAAAAAAAAATTTAAAACTTCAAAAAGCTTCATGGTCATTATACTTCGAATGATAATTTTTGGCTGGGACTGGACCGGAACAGCCGGCTAACTTTAAATTTAATAAAGCAATTTATTATTCTTATGCACCGGACTTATATCGCTTTCCGATTCCTAGATTTACATATTCATTTTTCAATTAACTATGATCGGTCTGATGGTTCTCAATCAAGCATTATTCTGGTGTACTTCCAATAATATTATTTGTCGTTACATTTGCCTTAATTATTGGTATAAACCGTCTTTTTAGTCACAATCCAAAAGCAGAATTTTTTATCTGTGAACTTGATGGGTATAATCGATATTAGAGCGAGAAAAGTCAATCGATTTTCACTCACCGAAGAAGTCGAATATGATGAAAATGCTGATCAAGAATCCATAGGCTTACTAGCATTATATATTGAGAGGCGAATGCAAAAAATCATAATATTTAATAAAAAAAGTCCAATTTATATTGGTCAATTCATATTTTTTGAAAAATTATAAAAAATTAAAAATATCCATATAGATGGATTTCATTTTGAGTTATGGCCAAATTAAGTTTACTTTGGGCTATAACTCAATAACGCCCGTGCCCACTATTTCAAGATTTTGCGGTAACGTAAATTGTGTAGCAAGTTGTATTTTTTTTTTTTTAATTATATGATAAATCTAATGATGACGATTCTAGAAGCTTTGCCGAGGGGTTAACTATACTACACTTGATCTGCACTTGCAAGTAGAGCTTCAACTTTTGATTCCATCTTTTCTTTAATACCAGTTACTCTCTGTGCTGCCTCTGCTAACAAAATTTTCTTCTGCTCTATTTCTATTAACAATGTATTAACTTGATTTTGGATTCGTCCCTATTTCATTTACAATTAAAATGGATTAGACATAGAAATTGAAGAACGCGATTAAAACAATAAAAATCGAACCTGCATGACAGCGTTAATCTCTCCTCTTAGATCAGAAAGTTTCTTATTTAAGTTGGTTTCTAATTTTGCCACTTCGCCTGTCAATTCCCTTTGTCTGGTAAATAGTTTGTCCAATTCTTCTTCTACATAATAAATAAATATTAAAGCTCAATACATATTCATCGAAACTTGGCAAAAAAAAATACTTACGATCTTCTTTGCTGAATCTATTTCGCTTGCATCAGATTCTTCAACATCTTCAGCATTACTTTCATGGCTATCATCATCCGACAATTGATCTAATCCAATTCTGAACTCTTCAGTAATATCATCATTTTGAGCATGTTCATCATTTTCTGATTCGTCAAGTATATTGGTCTGCCCTTCCACCAAAACTTGTTCAAACTCTTGCAGTCCTTCTATATTCATATCATCATCTTGACATTCTACTTCAAATCCTTCTTCGGCTTCGTAGTCGTCACACTGAAAATGTGACTTACTATCGTTTTTTTATATTTTGATTTGACAATAATAAATCGAAGATAGCTACTTTTAAATGTAATTTAATAAGTAACTGAACTTTAGGGATTTATTTTTTTTTATTGATCGTTGATCGATATATACTTTTTACAAAATAGAAATATAATTAAAATATACATCCTAATATGTTCATATCAAGACATGAAGATTAAAGCTAAATTGATATTTATTACTAAATTTATGATTCGAAAACTTATCGATCAACATGCTAACATTTTAATTTAATAAAACTGTTTAAGCAAGAATGGAATCAGGTTAATTGAAGTTCAACGCGGTATTTTATTAATTCATTTGGATCTTTTTTTGATAAATCAATATCTATTTCAGGTTCCTTTAAACGTTGTACAACTTAACTTTTTATTGACATTAATCACTCGAGTTCAAAAATTTTTTTCCTATAAATATAATGGTTATTCATAGCAGAGTAAAACGGAACGCTGGGTCTAAGGATCATGATCAAGATCTAGAAAGATCAAAATCAAGATAATGATCAATAGAACCTATATACTATAAAATGACTTAAATTTCGTGATACCTTCGATTTTCTTTTACACGCATTTTTTTGCTCAAAATGTTAGCCATTCTAACCAAAGAAATCAAACTCTTGAGTAGAAAACGGTTAAATATGTTTCACAAATATGAAAGTGCTTGGTTAGGGGGTTAAAACCGGTTACTAAATTAAGCCGGGTAACATGAATACTCAAATACTGTACTTTACTACTTGAGAACATAACGATAGCGGTTCACTAATAAAAAATCATTGTAAGCGTCGTCTATAGCAGATAGCTTTAATAAAGTGTCAATGTTCACTATGTAAAAGAAGCAAAAAAGGGTCAAACTCTCGAAGAATTTTGCTTAGAAGATAAAATATATCATTTATTGAATAATATCGGTAACTGGGAAAGTTTTGTGCAAAGTTGCTTTGTTACGTTCAATTTAGATAAACTTTATGATTAATTATTTAATTCGGACAGGAAAACTTATACGTAGTAGAAGAACCATTTATTAACCAGGTATCCAGGTCAACCGAATATTTCAACCGGCTGATAATTTTTTTGGTTCAGGGTGATCGGTTGTACGGTTGACCAATACTTCAGAGAATATCTCAAACCTCCGGTTGGAAAAACATCAAGATATATTCTCTAATGATATCGCAACACTTTCTGCTACCGATTATCAGCAAAAAAAAAAAAATTTATATTCTCATTTAACCATATCCATCGATTTGATTTTAATTCTAAATTGTTGACGTGAAAAAATCAAAAAGCTTTTTTTGTAACTATATGAGATAAATAAGAAATAAATACCAATAATAAAACAGTTATGCTAAGCTGCAAAAAAAAAGCACTATTTGTTAAACCGTTTGGATATGTTTGGTAGTTAAGAATCGGTTTGTCACTGAACGAACGGTTGAACAATGATAAGGTGAAGTCGGAAACAAATTGTTATGAAAAAGGCCTTTTAAACTTATTCTCAACCAATAACAAATATGTATAATTTTCTATACATTTAATTATGGATCCAAAGTTTAAAAGATCGTTTTTTGTGAGAACTCAGTTGTAATAAACTTTTGTTAATTCTCAATCATGATTTAAAAGACACGAAAATTCAAAAGTGATTGAAATTAGAAATAAATGCTTCATGAGACAAAAGTAAGAATCAAATATGAGAGTCAGTAATATTACAATATTAACTAATTAAGAAAATCTTGTCGGAATAAATTAAGTCATTAAAGATCGAGTTTCTAATAAGTTTCGCGGTTTTTCTTGAAAAGTATATAAATCAATCGGTGTCTGATTTACGTACGTACGTACGTACAGTACGTACCAAGAATCGCACTGCATAATTTCCGTTTCCACAGGTTTCATATGGAAAATGATTTCAAATTCAACCATGGGATAATCTCTTTGCTGACGGAAGCGATGGATGATAGATTGTAGATGAAATTTATTTACGCTTTTTACGTTTACATATGCTTTTTTATGCTTTCATGCTTTTTTACTCTTTATCATTTTTCTACACGTTTACATTTTTGTGCTTTTATATTTCTACATTTTTAACCTTCACCTGAACAAAGTCAGGAATGTCGCCAGTTTTTTATTTGCTTGAACAAGATCACGAATGTCAACACTCGCTTGAACAAAGTCATAAAAGTCAGCAGCAGGAGCTTTAACAGATTCTAATCCATCTAGTATATGAGGATTTCTACATGATTTGTATAACTTTCATATGAATCACCGGTTAATATACCGGATACCTTACATTCCACGGTAATTAAAAAAAAAAAAGCCGTGCGCAGGTTACTGTCCCATGATATGAAAACCAATCGTATAATTTGTGCTGCCTAATTTTGAGCAGAAACCTTTTTATACTGTAAAATAATACAAATATCTCTTATTATTTGCTAAGGGGAGTGCGTAATTTTTTAGGGGAGGGAGGGTCAGCAATTTATCACGTCTATATATTGAATATAAACGTTACTAATTTTATCACCTAGGGGGAGGGGTAGGAAACATGCCACTATCTGGTATGCCAACCGTGCCATGCTTCCCCATAGGAAGACTTTCGTATGATTGGCTGTTTAAGTCTATTTAATTTTACAGTTTAAAGTACTTTTTAAAAAAAATCAAACTACGAAGAATAAACAAAAAAGAAATATATAGAAAGTTTTAATAGGGTTGTAGGACTTATTAAAAGAATCAAAAATCCATTTTTGTTTTAGAGAAGTTAGCATGGCAATAACTTTTAATTCTATCTATCTTTAAGAAGTCGCTATTATGCTAACTTCTCTAAAACCAAAAATGATTTTGATTATTTTTAATGATGGAGTCCTACAACCCTAATAAAACTTTCTGTATACTTCTTTTTGTTTATTCTTCATAGTTTGATTTTTTTTAAAAAGTACTTTAAACTGTATAAATAATGTAAAATTAAATAGACTTAAACAGCCAATCATACGAAAGTCTTCCTATGGGGTTTGGCCTTCTAATAAAAATAAATTACGTAATAAACGGCACACCCCTAACTGGAATAATAATAATGTAAGAAAAAACCAGATACTTTATTTATTTTTTTTTAAAAAAGGGTTATATCGTATAATAAAACAAGAAGTAGCATTCTAAGATAAATCAAACACCAAGATTTAATAACAAATTAGATCCACCATTGTGGCTACCAGGCAAATATGTCACATTATGCGAATTCGCCAATGTTCCTGCAATCTCTTTAGATGCTTCGATACGACGCAATAATACTAATCCTTCACCTGCTTTGTCAAGAGCTTTAGAAATTCTATCAGCAGCTTCAGCCTCACCTTCAGCGCGAATGATTGCTGCTTGTTTTTCTTGCTCGGCCTGATTAATCGAATTCAATGTCAAGAATACTCCAATATGTGTGATGAGGAAAAAAATATATATATATCTAATTACCTTTTCTACAATAAATTTTGCACGTTCTGCTTCTTGTTGAGCAATTTGTTTTTGTTCTACAGCATTTGTGAACTCTTTACCAAAAGTCATATGAGTCTATTATAAAAATATATAATGTTATTTTAAATAATTTTTTTTTAATTTGCATTATTAAAAAAAATTTAGATATCTACAATCGATACATCTTCCAGTTCGATA